CAAATGGAAGGAGAACTCTGGGAAGCAGCTGCACCAAGGACCACCCAACTTGCATTATTATCCCTTCACAAGGCACCACTCTCAATCACTACTCAACAAAGCCAGTTCTTACCACAGGAAGACCTGGACAGGCTGAATGTTGGCAGTGCAGAGACAAGGACTGGTTGGGAAGGGGCAGAAAGCACCATGACACAACAGACTAAGTTCTCCAACACCATCAAGGGCAGAGACATTTGTACCCAAGTGTGGATCAGGGTATGGTGGTATATACCTGGACTCCACCGAAGAGATTTTTAACTGCAGAGCCTTGTGTGATGGAACAAAGGTAAATACTGAGGTACAGACACTACCTGAGGCTCAGTTAAAGGCATAATTTTCCAACTCTGAAAGAGTAGCTAGTTGTTCTGGAGCAGCCCCATTACCATGGGCTGTCAGGGCCTGAAAACAGCCGCCCAAGCTGGAGGCTCACAGCAGGTTTGTGCCCAGGAGATTATCAAAATGGACTCAAAAACATAAACCATATGATCACAATCATCCCTACAGGTGTAAAAGGCCCTTGGATAACATCAAACAGCCTTTCATGACATGTCATGAAAAGAAATGATGAACGGACATGACGCATGTCAACATAATAAAGCCTATGTACAACAAACCTATAACTAATATCATGGTAAGTGAGAAGACACGCGTCCACTCTGTCCAATTCAATACAGAGCTCAAAGTTTTAGCCACAGCAATAAGGCAAGAGAAAGAAATAAAAGGAATACAAGTACAAAAGAAGGGAAAGGATTAAGGCATCTATCTCCCTTTGCAGATGGCATGACTCTATACAAGACTACCAAGGAACTCTTAGAATTGATATACTTTCAACAAAGCAGCAGATAACAAAATTAGCACACGAAAATCAATGGCCTTCCTACATACCAACAACAAACATGAAGACAAACCAGAGAAGAAATACCACTCAAACCAGCTACCTATACAGTCTTGTTTTGGGAAGGTGTGGTGAAATATTAGTTGAATATTGTGTTGCATTCATTTATGCCATGGAACATTTGTTTAATGATGCAAAGATGTGTTGCATTCTTTTATGTTGCATTTGTTTAACTCTGTGAAGCTGTATTACTGTGCCTGCCTAAAACACCGGATTGGTCTAATAAAGAGACAATAGCTGGGCAGGAAAGGGATAGGCAGGTCTGCCAGGCAGAGAGGATAAATAGAAGGAGAAGGGTAGTGAGGAAAAAAAGGAGGATGCCAGGGGCCAGCTACCCAGCCAAACAGACAGACACAAAATGAAAAAAAAAAAAAAAACATAGAGAGAAATAGAAAAAGGTAGAGCCCAGAGACAAAAGGTAGATGGGACCTCTGTGGCAGCAAAGATCCCAGCATACTGGAAATATCAGCACCATGGGATGATTCCGAAGGACAGCAGCAGCTGTGGAGTAGAGCTTACATGAACTTATGAGACGAGTTATGTGAGCTACGGATTTTAGTGCCAGAGAAGTGAGGTGGCTCAAGCCCCTTGTAGCCCAGATCGTATGTGGGTCCCTGACATCAATCACTGACATTTTTACATTGTTGATGGTAGTTTTGTTTTGATTTGACCGTGATTGTTCCCTGGTTCTTGCCTCTTGGAGTAATACACTACATAAAATTATTATTATTATTATTTATTATTATATAAAAGCCTACAGCTAAAAGACTTTGGACTTTTAAAGAGACATTGGTATTTTAAAGAGAACTTGGACTTTTAAGACTGTGAGAACAGAAAAAGACCATGAGAGTCTAAACAACAGTAAACAACAAAAATCCTTTGGATGTTACTACTGTCCCTGATTTCAAGTTGTACTGTAGAGCCATAGTAATAAAAGCAGTATCACACTGGCACAAAGACAGACCCATGGAGCAGGGCAGCAGAAAGAAGAGGGGAGAGATGCAAGTCACTGCAACTATAGACACATGGCTTTTAGCAATGATGTTCAAAATACTCAGAAAAATGGCATCTTCAACAAATGCTGTTAGTCAAAGTGGATATCAACATGCAAAAGAATGAAACTAGATTCTTAGCTCTCATCCTGAATAAAATTCACTCCATATGGATCCAAGATTCAACTGAAGACTAAATATTTTTAAACTGCTAAGGAAAAAGTAGTAAATAAGCTTCAGCATACAGCTATGGATAAGGATTTTCTGATAGGAGTCCAGCAGCACAGGAAATAAGACCAGCAATTGATAAATGGGATCTCATAAAAGTACAAAGCTTCTATACTGAGATGGAAACTGTCAATCAACTAAAGAGGCAGCCCAAGAATAGAATAAAATTTTTGCCAACTACACATGTGACAAAGGGATTAGTATCTAGAAAATACAAGGAATTAAAAAAAAAAACAACTAAGCACCAAGATAACAAACACCAGCCAAGCATGGTGGTGCGCGCTTTAATCCCAGCACTCAGGAGGCTCTGTCAGTTCGAGGCCAGCCTGGTCTACAGAGTGAGTTCCAGCACAGCCAAAACTACAGAGAAACCCTGTCTAGAAAATCCAAATAAGAGAAAGAGAGAGAGAGAAATTTAAAAATATACCATGGAACTAAAGAAAGAGTTCTCCAAAGAAAAAATATGAATGGCTAATAAACAGTTTTAAAAGTGGTCAACATCTTTAGTCACCAGAGAATAAGGATGAAAACTACTTTAACATCCTATCATAAATGACCACCGTCACAAACACAGATTATGACAAACAGTGGCATGGGGAAGGAGAACGCTTTCCAGTGCTGGTGGGAGTGCACACTAGCACAGACACTGTGAAAATCAGTCTGGAGGTTCTCAAAGAAACAAAACCATGATCTACCATATGACCCGGCTGTACCACTGGGTGTATATCCAAGGATCTCAATACCCTACTGCAGAGATACTTGGACATCTATGTTCATTGCTGCTCTATTCACAATAGGCAAGAAACAGAATCAAATGCGGTACATATACTCAATAGAATTCTACCCAGCTGTAAAGGAAAATGAAACTGTTGGTAAATGACAGAACTGGAAAGAATACGGAGTAAGGTACTCAGGCCCAGAAGGACAAGTGCTCCCTGTTCTCTCTCATGCAGGGAGGTGGGTGGGCACACTGGGAAGTGATGGCCATGAAAGCCAGCTGAAGCGAAAGCAGAGGGCGGGCAGACTGCTGACAACGCAGGCTTAGCACAAAACGCAGAGGGATGAGAGAGACAAGCTGGCAGGGAAGGGAAGGGCTAAGCAAGCTGAAAAGTGTTTGAAAATCCATCCAGACACCTACTATCTTGTAATTCAATTAAGAATATTTTTTTTAAAAGTTAAAGGGGAAACTGCTGATAAGGATAGACAATGCTGTTCCTAGAATCAATGGGTCAACAAGAAAACATCCCCCTGCCAGGTGTGGGATACTTCTGTAAGGGATGTTGGTCACGGAGGTTCCACTGGCTCAAACACAATACAAGCTCTAGCGTTCCTCCTGGTTACCCCCAGAACTAAGGACCTACTGCTGAAAATATGACACACCTTGGTTGCAACGCACAGAGAAGACAAGACACGCACTGGGTCTTCAAAGAACTGGCCCTGTCCATAGCCAGCCATGGGGTAGGGAGAGGTTCATAGGGCCCCTACCCTTTCATGCTCAACTACTGAGTAACAGTGGATTTTTGGTGAGGGCCCATAATCATTTTCATTTGTGTATCAAGTGGGGGTCCGCTAAGTCCCAAAGGATAGTTCCAAACCCATGACTACACAGACAACCCTGACTAACTCAGTAGATCATAAAGCAAAGGAAAAGGTCATGACAACAGGAAAGGGATTTGTGGAAGGTGGATGCCAGGGATGGGGGAGACGGGCAGGGAGCAATCATGTGCATCACACCCATGTGGAAACTGTGGAGGAGCAATTTTAGTGAATAAAAGGAAATACCAACAAGCACGAGAATCGTCCTCAACCCAAAAGGCAAGGGTGGCTTGCAGATTAACACATTTGAAAGGCACAGATCACCAGTTGGTACAGTCCTGGTGACAATCTTAGCTTCAAAAGGAGGGCCGTCTACAGCTGATTATAAGTCATTAAGTAGAGAAAAGTTCTAAAGCCCAATATGACACTACCACAAAGGGTGTCACCCTCTTAATTCACAATCCGAGGCTGAAAGGGAGAGAACTGAGTGCTTAGCTGTTTCCACGGCTCACCGGGTAATAAGAGAACATGCTTTACAGAAAAGCTCAGTCAACAAATCTAAAACTAACGCTATAATTTTTAAAAATCAACATTTTTCTAAATTCAAACAAGCAAAACAAAAAAAAAAACTGATTTGGGCAAGAGTCATTAGTGGATGATAAGAGGATTATGGGTAATTATGTTTGAAAAAGAATCCCTTCCTAGTGAGGAAATGCAATCGTCCTCTTAACCAAATGACTCCATTCAGCATGACTGAAGGGCGGCCTGAGAGCACGCTTTGTAGGATGACGCGGAATGAAGTTACATTTTCCTCTGTAAAATACACTCACCAAAAATGTTCAACTGGAACCCAAGCACACCTACACCAGACTTCAAGTTTAAGAATTCAGAAAGCAATCCCAAAAGGAAACAAGTAGGTGGATAGGAACAGGGCACACATTCTGAGCTTGAGTTTCTCCCAGCCCTTTTCTTAATTTTGGGAAGTATGGCAAATGGCAAACGCCAAGCTAGTGCAAATATGAGAAAAATTGGTTTCTCTTTAGTCTCACTCTGCAAGGCTAAGACATTCACCCGGTGATCACATTTACCAAATTCCAGGGTCAAGGGAAGATTTGGAGTTAAGAAAACAGTCAGGAACATCGACAGAAAAGAGGAGGCGAGCCTCCTGCAGAGGTGAGAGAGTGGGAGACAGAGACAGCCAGAGAGGCCCACGCAACACAGCCGGGCTGGCAGACTATAAAGGACCAGCTAGAAGGGTGATTCCTCTCTCTCCCCCTACAACCCATCAATCTCAGAAACGATAATTTCACCTTTGCTGGAGAAGAGTGCGTAAAGTGTACTACACAGGTAGAAAGTCCCACCGCCGTGCATGTCAATGTGGAGCTGATAGCCTTGCAGTCCATATTCTGGGCTGTCATCCAAAAAGGGACCATGATGCTGAGGCGACACATAGGGACTGAAAAACAAATCAACACACACACAAATCTGTCAACATCACAGACAAAATACTTGGTTGTAAAACACTCCTAAAAATTATTATTTATTCAAAACACTGCTCCCACCAATGACACGCTATAGGAACCTAATAACCTTCATTCTGTGAACTCAAAGGAACTGTTCCATGTTCTCATCAGCTTCTAACAAAAACTGGCACAGATATAGAGTTCCATGGGCAGCCACCAGACCAGCACAGTGACTGTGATTGAGATCCGCCCTAGAACAGCAGTTCTACTAAGGCCACCATGCCCTCGGTCTTCTCAGTGACCAAAGACTGTGTTGGTACACAGACCTACAGGCCAAGGAATCAGGCTAAGATGCAAGCTAAAACCAGCCAATTGTTTCAGTAAGAAAAACCTCACCATGGAAGGCAGTACACTTAAAAGCATCCAGGAGCTTTACTTAAAAACTGAGTAAGGAGGGGCGAGGGGGGAGCTGCAGGGAGACTAAAAAGATTGTTCTCCACCTAACAGCAGGCTGATACATGAGAAGACACCCACAGAACAGACCAGAGTCAACCAGAGGGCCAAAGGTCTGGACATTTTCCAAGTTCAAGACTTTAGATTATCAAATATGAGAACCTGAGGAAGGATGGTAGCATGCTATCAGAACAAAGCACTCCTGCCCCTCTAAGTAATACCCTACCAGGTATACAGTCCTTAAACTGGAACAAACTGAGTAGATACATGTCCATAAATAATACAATTATCTTAGCGATAGCTAAGTGATCAGTCATGTCTGATGTCTTGCGTCTACTGAATACAGAATACTTTTAGAGCTATCCTAAGACTATTAAGAGGGAACTGACTTCGAATTTTATGAGAATCCAATCCACCCATATACAGATACGCACAGAATCCAATCCACCATACACAGATACGCACAGAATCCAATCCACCATACACAGATACATACAGAATCCAATCCACCATATACAGATACATACAGAATCCAATCCACCCATATACAGATACCTACAGAATCCAATCCACCCATATACAGATACGTACAGAGTGGCTGAGCCTAATGTGCTTCTCTCCACAAGGTGATGAAAATGAAGATTTGCCATGACAAAAGCCAGTCCTGCGTCCTTCTGAAAAGATAATTTAAAAGAACATAGTTTTCAATAGAAGTATTTTAATTTTTCACAAGTTCACTGTGAAAAGCACAGCTTATCATTTTGAAGATGTATACATTATTATTGCCAATAAAGTGCCAATAAATAAGACTTGCACACAATACCAAGAGCTGGACCATGATTCACTCAATTGGCAGAACATGTAGTCCCAAAAGAATTAACATCCTACACTTGTGCAATAGCAAAGTGCCCTATTATACACAATGATTTCCATGTTATTTATTTGTATACATAAATAATATATAATATTTACATACTCATATGCATGTATACATAGATACACATACTTGTGTGTGAACAAAAGAGAGAGATGATTTTAAGCTATTTCAAACTATTTTCAAAAATAAAGACAATCTGATAAGACCCTGCAGATGTCTGGTAAATTCCATAAACTGAGCATTACTGGACAATGTTTCTCCTAGTTAGCTTCAGCTGTCAACTTGATACATCCCAGAATTACCCAAGAGTCCCGACCGAGATTCTGTATGGTCAGAACATCAGTAAATCCGTTGTCAGACAGTCCATCTCAGAAATGACTGCATGAACAAGATCTAAACAATAGCACAACCAATAGGCCGGCTGACACAGAAGAAGGAAATTGTCACACAGTCCCACGTCTAGACAGAACTACAGGCAAAGAATGACAGCTGAGAGGCAGAGAATTATAGCTTTTCCCAGGACTGAGCTCCCTAGTTGGTTCTCCAATAGCAAGTTCTAAAACTACATACACATACAACAAAAATAAACTCAGCAGGTTGTATTCATATATTCCTGCATACATACTGATACATGTATATGTAACAATAATAGAAAGAGGCTATCAGTTTGAGAGTGGGAGGAGCATGAAAGGGGTTAGAGGGAAGAGACCTGTGAGTGGATACAAGGAGGGGCAAAGGGGGGAAGTGATATAATTCCATAAAAAAACAGGCGCTGGTGGCACAGGCCTTTAATCCCAGCACTAGGGAGGGAGGCAGCCGGATCTGTGAGTTCGAGGCCAGCCTGGTCTATAGCGTTAGCTCCAAAATAGCTAGGGCTGTTACACAGAGAAACCCTGTCTCAAAAAAAAAAATAAATAAATAAAAATAAAATTTAAAAAATAAAACAAAAACTCTAAAGGATCAGAACTCAGCCTGGCCTGGTGAAACAGAGCACACAACCTGAAAGAACAACTTCTTAGATATTTAACCCTGAAGGCAGAGTGTGTCCCATGTCACATCCACAAGTCAGAAAGATCTTAGAGACCTCCACGTTGGGCATGCATGTACTATCAAGAAACTTTGGCAAAGAAAGACTTGAGAGTGGAACATAGACTTCCTGGGAGAGGTAGAGGGAAGTGCCCTAATGTTAAAGAAATAACTGTCAGTAGAAACAGGAAGACAGAGGAGGTGCCCACCATGCAATCAGCACTGAATGCGTCCACGTCTACATTCAGTCTCACATATAACAGTGTGCAAACATGCAACTGTCAAGGGACACGACAGAGTCGATGCATGAACTCCATCTTACATAACAGTGTGCAAACGTGGGACTGTCAAGGGACACGGCACAGTTTGTGCATGAACTCCATCTTACCTGCCATAACCCCACCAGGAGGCCAGGATTTAGACAGAATATCCGGACAAGTCTGTCACAGCCAAAGATGGTAGGCTCCCTTAAATGATCCAGATCATACTTTGCAATTAAAGACAGCCACCGTGGCCTTGGAAAACCATGCCAAGAAAGAAGAGAGATTGTGAACATTCCAATATGTCTTTTTGTCAAGTCTTATTCATGTAACTAAAAATGCTTTTGAAGAGCAATTTATACACAGTGACATGCTCAAACCAAGTGACAGAATTATAGAGCCTTGTACAACTGAGAGGCAAATACACCAAGTTTTTCACCCTGCAATGTCTTTCTTTCCCTCACTCTTCCTCTGAGAGAAGATGAGCCTTTTTTCCAAAGTTTTTATAAGGTAGAACTGAGAAACAGTGAAAACTGGAATATGAGAACAGGAATGTAAGCTGAAATCTTGAGTGTTTTCATGAGAGAGTCCAAGAGTCTTAGTCCAAGAGTAAATACTCAGGTATGTGGGAGACGCCTTCAGTATGTTCCACGTTAAGACTTAACATCATCTACAAATACAGTGCAAGGCAGACAACAACATACAGTTCAGGAAGCTGAAAAGGAGCTGAGACCTCACTGGTCAAGCAACAGAGCCAGAGCACTAGGCCAAAGTCCCCAAGGTCCTGAACACAGCATCTGGAATTGACTCAGCACCAGGTACTCAAGACAGCAGGTATAAACACAGATACAGAGCGAAACAAAGCTGGGTCACCCGTGGCACTGTTTCAAACAGAGGCGGGCTGCAAGGCAACAAAGCCAACTGCAGCTCTCACGGGACAGGATTCTAGCACTGTGTTCATAAGGCATTTTTACACTGAAAACAGTAAGTAGGTGGCAGAACTGGCTGGTGAGACTTGTGACATAGGAACTAAAACAGACTCAGCACATGAAGAATATGCCTGGCGGATGACGAACACAGGACCAGTGACACAAGTAGAAGTTCAAGAAAACCCAGGGAACCTTAGCTCCAGCTGACAATGACTTCACAACACCACAGACTAGGTCCCACCATGTGACAACAGCTGCTCAGAGGGAAGGCCGGACAGTCCAGAGAAAGAATGCCATGACCATGACGGCACAGCACACTGAACAGGTGCTCAACAGCCAGCAGCCATCGCTGTTGCCACAGTCAAGACAGAAAGTGGCAGCTAGGTAGAGATGGCAGAAGCCTCTTCCCTCACCTTCAACATACCACAGCTGGGAAACACTCTAAGGGTGGCTAGGAAAATATTCAACAGACTCCAGGGACAAATTAAGTCCTCATTCACCTGAGTTTTACAAGTGATAGCCACTGAGGCCTTGGAGAACATTCATTAGACCACCATTCTCCCAAACTTGGAGGGCACCGGCACAGGGACTGAGAACAGAACACTACAAGAACTGACAGTTGAGAGCTCATCTAGAAAGGTCTGGGCTACAGGGCAAAGATCTGAACACGGCTCCACGAGCACTTGCGATATTCCCAGAAACACTGCACAGCAGAACAAACGCAAGCTTAAGTAAAGGCGCAAAGACACAGACAAAGATCTGTTCTCCTTCATGATGAACGCACTGGCCTACAAACTGTAGAGAGGGACCATCAAAGCAGATCCGTGGAACACACTTTCAGCTCTGCTTACCACTGCCAATCAAAGGCTGGCCCATAGAGTTTAAATGAAAATAAATTACATTCGATTAACTTTCCCCAATGAATTTTAGCATTCATTGCTATGCAGTAACTAGTACTCCTGACCTTGGTGGCAATTTCTGGGAACACTATACTTTTAAGTGAGTTCTATAATTCAACATAACATGATCTGCAATCCATAGTCTTTCAAGGGCATTTTAACTAATGTTAACTAATTTGTATCAGTGCCTACAAACAAAAATCCACGATACACTAAGTAACACCATCCAATCACAACAGTGCATTGTGTGGATTCTGACTGTAAACATGATTTCAGACTGTATACGACTTACCTACTGTATCAGAAAAACTTTAAGTTCAGCATACAAATTTCAGATTTATCCAGATAAAAATATCACTTAAAAAGGTAACTGTGCTGTCAAAATATATCTAGTAATCTAATTAGGAAAATAATCCACGTTTTTACACTGATAATGGTTTCAGAACACAGCAAGCATGGGCAGCAATGAGAGGCCTGAGCACAATCACTAAGCAGCCACAGAGCTGGCACGACAGAGGACCCAACAGCAGGCCCACTGCAGGGAAACCATGATACTAATTTAACATCGTCTCTTCTCATAGGGACAGAGATGAGAGGGAGCCATAAGAATCACGGTAAGCAAAGGCGGTAAGAAAAATCACCATAGAAGACGCTGCTGCAGAGCCAAAGAGGGGACAGGCAGCAGTACAGCCACAGAGAAGGCATCACTACTACACGCTGCAACAGGCCTGCTGGGGACATAAGGATCTACAGCTCCACAGTCCAGTTCTACAAGACCATGGTCACTATGGAGGCGGCTTGTGCTGTGAGCAGGAGTGAGCCATCCCACAGTAGAACCTATGGACTTCACAACTAAGTCTCCTGATCTTCACCTAACAACCATCAGCATCATATCAATGTACGGGTGAGAAGGCGGAGTCAGGTACACATGGCCACACATCTAGTAAATTCAAGAGAAAAACCACACAAAATAAGTGATAATTGTATTTATAAAGTACTTAAACAAAATTAGTATATAATTACTGAAGAATAAGCTAATCTTATATTGTTAAAACAGCTAAAAGTGAAAATGCAGAAAAGCCACACATTTTCTAACAAACTATAAAATAATAGAACTATCTTAAAACTAGACCATCATTTTACTATTATAAGATTCAAGAAATCTTAATTTAGACCTAATGTGAAAAGCCCAGTGTCTTCTGTTCATAGCAATGCAGAATGACAGGAAAGCCTCTGACACACAAGTGAATGGAAATACATGAATGGTATTTTTTGATTACAAAGAAATGCCAATATTTAGGTACCAGGAGTCCTTGTCAATGTGCTGATGAATTAGTACTTACCCATATGGGTCGAAGGTTTTATGCCGATCTGCAAAAACTGGCGTCATACCACACAAATCCAGGGTGGACAACATGGCAAGCTTCGGCCAGTTTTTGCCATACCACACAACAGTGACAGATGTGTCATTGAAGGAAACATCAACGTGCTGCATGATGTGTTCTTTTCCACTTTTCTCTCTCAATATAATTACAAAGCGTAGGCCAAATATTCTAGAGAAAGAAATGATAGCTCCAAGTGCTTTCAAAGAAAGGACTCTATCAACAAACACACATACTTTATATGTATTTCCATAATATCTACTTCCTTAAAGACAAAAGTCAAAATCCTTGGCACACTTCTGACATATTTCACCCACAGCACCCTCTGAACCTTTCTTTCCTCTAGCAAATAATCCCTGTTCCATGACTAGCAGTTCAGACAATGGAAGGGCATCTTCAACACCTACTCAACACCATGAAGCTGTTTCTTCTGTTTATAAAATGTAAGGAAATACCAAAATGTCTCATAAATTTTACACATACACACACAAGATCAGAGACAGCACCCTCTAATATAAACTGCTCACCTAGTCTAGGAATGTAGCTCATGGTATCCACGTCCCCAGCACATGGAAGGCCCTAGTCTAGGAGTGTAGCTCATGATATCCACTTCCCCAGCACATGGAAGGCCCTAGTCTAGGAGTGTAGCTCATGGTATCCACTTCCCCAGCACATGGAAGGCCCTAGTTTCAATCCTTCAGCCTGCAAACTAAGTAAGAACCTTGCACATCGACTGTATGTCTAAAACACCTGGATATGACAACACTGGGTTAGAACCTGGACGATCCTGTGGTTCTGTCCAGGAGCCAGTGAAGCATCCAAGAGCAGCCTACACACCTGAGGACCTCTTTGAATTTCGTAGGAAGACCTGTGTAGGAGTTAACAGGTTTGGCAATTTGGGTTAGTGCTTCTTTCACAGATGAGATTTGCTTTGTAATATACTCTTTCTTCCAGTATCCGCCTTCTTTATCCTCAACTGACAGTAAGCTCACGGATGTGGCTGTCTCCTCCACTGAATGAACTTTCCAGTGGGATCTTTTGGATGCAAATGCAGCTAAGTAGATTCTTCTCCAAATAAGACTGGAAGAAAGAGATAAAGGATAGCAATGTGGAGGCACTGTAGAGCACCTGTAACAATATATTACATTAGAGATGCACAGTAACTTTTCATTTCAAATAGACCAATTCAATGAAGAATTTGCCTGTCTACGTGTGTACAGTGGACCACAGTCTGAAATGACATGTTTTAGATCTACTATCCCCAAAAGCACATAAAAAAGGGAAAATCCTATTTCCAGAGTTAAGTTTAAATTAAGAATTTTATGTTACTTGGGATCATCAAATGTTGTCTTTCTGCTAGATGACTGAAGAGGAGTTCAATCACAGGAAAGTCACAGGTGTACATACGGGTGAATCTGGTCTTACTGTGGGTATGCACGTGTGTAAGCTCTGTACACACTTGCAAAACAATGAGTAAACATAGTCTACATTCATTCTGCTTCCTACCTTTGAATTTTAACAATGAACATGCCTGCCCCAATTTCAAAAGTAAAATAGTGAAAGTAACTAAAATATAACTTTGTTTGTTAAGCTTTCCTGAGCACACATGTCAATTGTTACTTAAGTAATTCACACACATTAACTCATTTACTCCTCCCAATAAATACATGAGGTAGCTACTGTTTTCACCCCCACTGTACAGCAGATCATATAATTGTAGCCAAGACTGGTATATTCAAATATGCATGAATACACACACATTTTAATGATTCAAAAATTATCTATATTCATTCCAAAATTATTGTCAAATGCCATCTAGTAGTTGATGTAGATAAAACATGTACCCTCTCGCATAAGAATTTCTTGTATCTTTTTAAATGAAAAGACAAGAACCTCCCTCCTCTATTAGAGCAGGTGCATGTTCCCGTGGCAAAGTGAAAAGTGTGGAGGACAACCTTCTCTGTTCTGTGAGAACAGAGGGTTTACTATGTTTCCTCACCTAAAGGGCAAACACCAAAGCATCAAAGATATATTAGACTAGTCATTTCAGAACTAGATTATTCATCACTATGACCTGAAGAAACTGTAAAATTCCAAACCACTAAAAGCACTGAGCCATAATCTTCACAGATACAGAGTTAGGAACCCAAAGTCTTACATTTTCCCAGCTGACTGTGCATCTTCTCGCATGGACTAGAGTCCGAGAACCACCATAGAGAATGTTCCCTGCCTGCCATGCTCCAGAATAGAAAACCCTGCACCCTCTCTGTCATTCCCCACACCTTTACCTTCCACATCGAACAACTACATTCCTGCAGGGTCTATATGGAGTCAATATGTGCATGGTCTTTGATGCTGAGTAAGAGAGAACCCTAAAAAGCCAAAAAGTGGGAACAAAATGCTCAGTAGATATTAGGGGCACTCCATCTCTCTCTGTACAAGAGGAAATTCTAGGTACAGGCCAAGCTCACAAAGAAAAATAGAAGCAGTGACTCCTCTTTATTCATAGTTGCCCAAGAGTCTAACTGAGGAGTCTCCCTGGTTCCCAAGCCTCCACATGCTGTGTCTCTCTCTCTTCCCCTCTCTCACTCTTTCCATGTATCAAGTCCATTTGACTGGCAGATATTGGAGGAAAAGCTATGTCAATTTAAAAGTCCCCACACACACTTGTTTTTCTATGGTCTGTATGACTGCCAGGAGAGCACACCATCTGCCCAAGAACTAGGTGAAAAGCTCTGTGAATGAATGAGAGGAATAGGCTTTATCTTCAGTATACACAAAGAATAGCCTGATACTCAGAAATGCAAATGTTTGGAAATACATGACTACATGTAGCATTAGTCACATTATTGTCTAAAACAGGATTAAAATTAATTCTCTTAATTTTTAGCAAATGGCTGTCTACTAATTTTCATGACTTCTATTATCACACAGAACAGACAGACATAGTAGTCTCCTTACTTGTCACTGGCCAAATGATAAAAGCGTTTGTTCACACATCCAGTGCCCAGCAAGCTCACAGCATCCAAGTAGGAAAATATATTCAGCAAGACTTCAGAGGGCATTCTGAGAGAGGAGGGAGAAAATTAAACAAGATAGCAGATACTGAATCTACAAATTACCCAGAATACAACTGGCTATGCATCTCTAGAGAGAGGGCTACTACCATACTCATCTGTTTAATAGGCAAACTCTTCTCTCACACTCGATTAATTTCTTGATTGTAATTTTCTGGTTATTACAGTTCTCATTGCATAGACCAATGAGGAGAGCATAGACACAGCGAACTGACTTTTTCAGTATGTCAGCCACTTCGGTTCAATGACTCTATCATGAAGGTGTCATCCTCTGCTGAAATGCAGGAACTAGAAGATGGAAACACATTCTCGCCATGAATAATGCTGCTAGAATTGGAAACATTAACTGTGTTCACACCTAACCTGCATTTCAGGTTCTCATTCACCAGCCTGCTAAATGTCCTCATAGAGGGACACTAACTGCTTTCTCTCTAGTTCAAGAAAACTTCAGGCTTCATAGAGTCTTCTGAAGGGCTTTATGTCTAAAAGAATGTTATACTTTATTATCGAGATTCCTTCTACTTTCATAGTTGCAGAATTCTACACACACACAAGAACCCAGCAGCATGAGGAAATCAGGAATGGGCCTCCAAGCATCTGCATCAGCACTTAGCTGAAGGGCAAATGAACAGGGCTTTGAAGACTGCTGCAAGAGATGGAAGAAGGAACACATAATAAAGGACTAAGAAAACCCTTTGGGACCAACTTCAAATGGTTTGGTCAGTCTCTACTTGTGACTTTAATAATTAAAATAATTTTATTTATTAATGGAATTCAGTAATCAAACATTTCATAGGGAGATGTTAGTCCTAAAATCCTGAAAATACTAAGAAAAAAAATGTGGATCCTTGGAGAGAGGCAGCTAATTCTTCACATACTTGATCCATGTCACCATGTGAGTGCACCCATTGTTCAAGGCTTCTGCAAGAACAAGCAGCCTCATCTTAGTTAAATCTTCCCTGCCCTGCCCATGAAATCATTAATATTCATAATCAGTGTTAGACACCTTCAATAAGAAATGGTAGAGACAACAAAACTGGGAGTGGGGAGTTTTAAGCCTACTTGACACAAAGGGGGTCACCTGAGGAAGGGCCCTGAATTGAGAAAATGCTTCAGTAATATAGGCAGGCCTGTAGAATATTTTCTTAATTAATGATTGATGGAGAGGTCATAATGGGCTGGACCTCAGTTGTGGGTGGTACCATCCCTGGACACATGGTCCTGGGTTCTATAAGAAAGCAAACTGAGCAAGACAAGGAAGCAATCCAGGAAGCAACACCACCACCCCAACCTCCCACACCCCATACCCTTGCATCCCTTATGGCCTCTGCATCAGGTTCCAGACCAGTTTGAAATGCTGCCTTGGCTTTCTTCAATGGACTAAGATTCCAAACATGTAAGTCAAATCAAGCCTTTCCTTCTGTCATGGTGTTTCATCACAGCAATAGAAAAGTACTAAGGCAGTCACTGTTAGGACTAGCCACTGCATGTCCTTTCATATTTTAAATTCTTCATAAAAGTCTGTGCCTATATTTTTAAATTATTACAATTCAAACTAAGTTGATCATAAAGACATTTCAGAAAGGTATGGAGTAACTGCAGGGATTTAACTGAATAAAATCCCATGCAAGTGAGGCATTGAGTAAGTTCCATCTTTGTAGCCACCAGAACGGAGCATGGGGAGATGTACCTTGATCCCATCTATCCTTCACTGTTCAAAGTCCTTTGAATAAGTGTTCAGCCATAACTGAGACATAACTCCACCCCTCCCAAGGCTCAGGGGACATGCTGGAAGATAGAGAGAAAGAACTGAAGAACAAGAGAATGCAGCAGAGTTCTGTGGCATGCCGTCCTCTGGACATGACACAGCTGTTACTCCAACTCACAGCAGCACTGGTGACCTACACAAGACCTGTGTAACACATTCATATTTACTACTTGACGACTTGTCGCTAAGCTGGACCAACCAATGTTTACACCCACACTGAGCTGCTTTTTATTGGATTCTAATTAATTCACATAATCCCTGGAATGAAGATAAGGAATAACAAAGACAGAAAGGGCATGAGGAAGTGAGACAAACAGAAACAAAGATGGGGACAAGAAGTTCTGCCTTAAGTGAGTGGTCTTTCCTAAGAAACTCAGCTGATTTGTATATGTTCATTTTCAATACTGTGGGGATAGTTTGAATGGGAAATTGTACCCCATAGTCTTAGGTATTTGAATAGTTGGTCCAATCCAGTTGGTGCTGCTATTTGGAGGGGCTTATGAGGTGTGGTCTTGCTGGAGGAAGTGTGTCACCAAACGCAAACTTGGAGAGGCCTTGCCCTACACCCTGTCCCCTCTCTACTTTGTGTCTGCAGTTCAAGATGTGAGCTCTCAGCATGCTGCTCCATGGTCTCTAACTCTCTGGAGCCATAAACAAAATTAACTTTCCTTCTGTAAGTTGCCTTAGACATGGTGTTCTATCAAAAGAACAGACAAGTAACTAATACAGTGACTGAACTACAAACATGTCTTTGCCCATACTGTACACAAGTAATCCACTCCAGTATGTGTGCACTCATCATCCCCACCCTTACCCCACCCCACTTCTTCAGAGAATGCTCACTCCCATCTATCCAACCACCTTGGCCCTGGATTCCCAGCCACGTCCTCAAAGCCTTCAGTCTTCTGTTCGGGCCTCCCTCTTCTCCAGCATCGCATTAGCCTTTGAACCATGCCCAAAATGTCTCACCTTAATATTTACCTACTGGCCCAAGCCCAGCTCTTCCCAAGCTTTCTCTAGCTGCTACACAACCTCTGCAAAACCACTGGCTGCAGAGCTTCCAGGGAAGATAAACAACAAAAGAAAACACCAGCTTGTCTCTACTTACTGTCTCTATGTCCATGCCTCCTCTTCTTTGTTTTTCATAATATAAATACAAAACACAAAACAACTAAAAAGAAGGATTGGCCCTCCCCTCTCATACGTCTTTCCTGGATCCTTGGTTGCTTCTCAATGGCCCAGTATCTCTGGGCTTCCTCATAAGACAAGTTTCTCTCTTCTTGCTCCAAATCCCCCATCACATCCAGGAGAACTAGCACTGGACCTGTGGAGTCTCTGCAAACTCTTATCATCAACAGGACTCTCTCCTGCATCCCCCACTCGCTCTGGAACTCTCCCATCTCCGCAGCAGTACCTTCATCCACACATCTGCCAGAGCTAACAGTCTGTTTACTCCTCACAAAAACAAGGACATCTGGGGCTGGAGAGATGGATGGCTCAGTGGTTAAGAGCATTGCCTGTTCTTCCAAAGGTCCTGAGTTCAATTCCCAGCAACCACATGGTGGCTCACAACCATCTGTAAAGAGGTCTGGTGCCCTCTTCTGGCCTGCAGACATGCACACAGACAGAATATTGTCTACATAATAAATAATAAATAAATAAATAAATAAATAAATAAATAAATAAATAAATAAATAAAACAAGGACATCTATTTTACTTATGAATAATGTCAGTTATACCTCCAAATGTTCCAAACTTGCCTGTCTCACTCTATTCCTCCTCCTGATAGAGAGACAAGGCATGTAAACAAGATATTTTAGAAGTCCAGCTTCTACCCAGGATCATGGGAGCCTATGCCTTTCCCATCACACTAGCTACGTGGTGCCTCTCTTAGAGTAAGTCTGTCTCTGTACCTCTGGGTTCCCACTCTGGTACCCTCTTCTCCAAGGTCTTTAATCTCAACTTTTACTTTCCATCTTCAATGTCACCTCCCCAAGAAAGCCTTTCCTTACCACCTGATTGTATTATTCTACAGTGTGGAATTCATTCATTTCCTTGACAGCATGTACTCCAATTTACAATTTTTCATTAAAAAAAAAAAACTCTCTCACTAGTCTATCAGCTTCTAGAAAATACATGTAAAGGTTCACTGTGTGTCCCCAGCATCAGGAACAGCATCAGATCCAATTCCCAGAATAAAGGGTCTTAAACATAACCGATGTCCTTAATCATCTCTTTTGACTTCTATGTGTAAAAACATACTAAAATAAGTACATTGAAATGTGCATATATAATATGGTACTGTTGGCTGAACCAAGTATGATACAGTATTAAATGTCCAATTGTGAATTGTTTTTGCAATACACAGAGTCTTCAGGCTTTGTATCCTGAATGTCTCTTCATGAAAATACCAACATTACAGGGCTTCAAGCGATGCTAATTACATCAATGTATCCCACTATGGTATTGCAACACATATCTATAGGCATGTTAATATTAGTTCACATTTTTTTTAAAAGATTGAATGAATTTTGGTTCCAATGGTCACAGTATAAATCTCACAAGGACAAAGAGTTCCAAACCACTGATCTAAAAAAAAAAAAAACAAAGAAAAAAAAATTCCATAGGCTGTACAACTTCAGAAAAAAACATGATCTTCTTTTGGCTTTCCACCGGTTCTTATCTACCAAGAAGTGAATAATTAAGAAGAACAATTTAATAGAAGGAAAATTCAGTGTACTTGTCACCTTTAGAAGTTTAGTTTCATAAAACTAGTCTAATAAGGATAATGGTGACAGGCTCATGACTCATGTCAAACTCTGTGTTGTACATTCTTCCTACACAATCCTATTCTTAGAAAGCTCAAAATAGCAGCTTGGTATAGCTGCACTATAATTTTCTCTAAAACCCCATGCTTAAAGTCCACTGCCCATGAGAAGCAGGCTACGTACCTGTCTAGGGATACAAAACAGATGGAGGACTTCTCATTGTGCTGGCCATGCCTGGTACACTGCCTCACCACAGGTGAGCCTCTAGCAAACTTAACTCCAAAACCCTTTCTGAAAGTAAAAGTGAGAAACTCAAGTTATATAATAATTACCAAATGAGGTGAGTTATCTGCTCCCCTTAGCAAAATTCTGAAGGATCAATAGACTCCAAACATTATTCAATGCAAAACTTCATCTCTGAAAATAAAGAGGGGGGAAGGGGAGAAAAGAATGGAGGGGAACAGAAGGGAGGGGCCAAATCAAGTGTGTGGTAAGTTAATAAAGCTAATATCTGCACTTTACAGTGCAGTACTGGTGTTCATTACAGACAGACAGCCCGTCATCAGGGCATCCCCGAATGGATGGAGGGGAACAAAGGGAAAAGGAGAAACATGCTGTCCTGTTTCATTTCACAAATGCTCTAACCCGGAAACAATTTAGAGGAGAAAAGGGCACGTTACAGGCTATAGTCCATCAGTATGACCAAGGAACTTAGAGGAGCTTGAGAAGCACAACCCATGAGCACTGATGCTGGGAGCTCACTCACAAGCTCAGCTTAACTGGCTTTCTATACCCCAGGATCATATGTGCCCAATGAATGGTGATGCCCACAGTGGGCTGGCCCTCCTCCATCATTAACAACACAATCACTCACAGCCATGCCCTGAGGCCAATCTGATCTGGGCAGTTCCCAACTGAGATTCCCTTCTCAGGTAGTTTTGGGCTGTGCCAAGCATACAATTAAATCTATCTAAAACAGATATATTCAGAGGCCACTTTCAATAATATAACAGAAACCTACTGAAGGTAGAATCCATAGATTTTTTATAACTTCCTACCTGTGAGCTAGATCTGTCAAGGCAACCTACAACTTTGTTGATCTTCAAAGCAGTTTCTAAGGATAGCATTGACTATCCTTTAGTTAACCTTTGGTTTAACATCTTCAGTTAGGCAGAGAAGTCCCTCTATACTAAAGTTTCCCACATTTTAACACCTTATAGTCAATAAATTATATTTTAATTGGCTATCTTTTTAGAGATACATAAAACAATGCATCTTATAACTAACAGCTTTTTAGATATGATGACATAAATATAGTCTTTCAAAGTTCCTAAAACAAGTCTGAATTGGGTAAGTCCTCAACTGATGCTCGCTAGCAGACTGGAGGAGATCTGAAACAACAGGAAGTCACAGTCCACAGATCCCATTTTTAGGAAGTAGCCCCGCTGAGTGCTCTTAATGAATATTTCATTTTTCTTGGAAATCCCTAGAAGCTACTTCTTTGAGCAATGTACAACATAAACACATCAGTTGCTGATACACCCCCACACCCTGCGTGCTATTTAAGGTACAATATAGAGTACATATTACCCACTTCTCATTCAACAATGCCTAATCACCTTCAGGACCAACCTGGTTCCCAAGACACATTTAGATTAACATCTAAACACATTTTTTAAAGTCAGAATTCCATTTCTGGAAATATGCTTTAACTCAAGAAAATGTGCTCTCCCAATAGTTCTCCCAAAAAATGTCCAGCTCAGAGCACCAAGGCTAAATTCACTTGCTGAGCAAACCTCATGAAAAGAACAGTTATCTCTTTTCTGAGTGTGTGTGCAAAACCTGTAGTTAATGTGTATTATGGCATCCTCACAATCAAGCTGTTCACTCTCCCTAAACAATTAAGTAATGATTAGGCAGGTAGGTACTTCCTGGCACCAGTTATTGAGAAAAGAAAAAGGTACCAAAGGCTTTTCCCTAATCTGATACCAAACAGATATGCCTGTCTTTGACTACAGTATTTACTACAGCTTATTTACCAGTTTATTCTTCAGATACATCTTAATGGCATATTCTGTACAAAGAAATGTATTAAATGCTTTAAAACTTACTGCATCCTATATTTATAAGAAAAGCAAGAGTATTTTATTACAGACATGGTTTTTAATACTTTTCTTAAAACAGTGCGACTCCTTTCTAATGGCTTTCTTCTATCTGCCTTTTAAAAAGACCCCCTTGCTGAACATTGGTGCAATCCTTTGATCCTGGCACTCTGGAGGCAGAGGCAGGCGGATCTCTGAGGGTTCAAGGACAGCCTGGTCTACAGGACGGCCTGAGCTATACAGACACACCCTTTCTCAAAAAAAAAAAAAAAAAAAACAAACTCAAAAAAGATCCCTTCCTCTCGTTTCATAGAAAAGACAACCAAGTCTCCGACTAGATTCCCAAGATTCTCCTGACAACCATTTTGGAGTTCTTTTTACCATTTCAAATATTTATCGATTTAATTTTGGCATGACTGAAAAGCACAACTCCATTTCTTCCTGAAAATGACTTGGCATTCTAAATGGCCCAGTCCACTAAACAATCGGTGAACTGAACACATATCTTCAAGCAGCTCTATGTCAAACCCACTGTTTAGTTTGGAGGCATTTTTCAAGTGCACAAAGAAAAGGTCAGAGAAGAGAATGACAATTGGATTAGCAATAAATACATCTCAAGCGAACATTTTTCCTGAGAGCTTAGAAAAGTGCAAGACATTTGTAAAAATAATTTTAAATTGTTAGTGTGAAATAAGTCAGACTAGATATAAATTAACTAAACTTGACATGCATTCTGTTGTATTTGTTATAGTACATAATATTTATAAATGTTAATTCTTGTTGTAGCTGTGGCTATCCTGGAACTCACTCTGTATACCACGCTGATCTTGAACTTGGAGATCCAGCTGCTTCTGCCTCAAGAGTGTTGGGATTAAAGGCGTGCACCACAACAGGGCTAATAACTGCCTTCTCAAAGCATAGTCAAATTCACAGGCAGGTGTGGGAGCAGGTTCCCACACCATGAGAGGTACTTTATCAGAAGGCTCACCCAGCTTAAAAAGAAATCAAAGACTCTGACAACATTCTTCCTGCCCACCCATGCAGACCACTATTAAAGAGTAAATTGAGGAATAGAAAAAAAATTAACTTAAACTCCAACCTTCCAGCTTAAAGGCCCAGTCTTTCTCATCTTTTTGCAAACAATGTCACCATTCTGTCACAAACCTGATTTGTCCAGCATCTTGAGAACTCATTCAAGAACTATTATAACAACACCATCTTTCTGAAATGGTCGACATAGGGACATAGGAAGGACAAAGGACAGGGCCCTGGAGTTGGGGTCAAGGGACCTAAGTAGTTGACATAAGCCATTGGCAGGTTGTTTGTGCCTACACGGATACCTGGGTGCTTCAGAAGCATGCACTCGACTGCTGCCTCTATACATCAAGAAGCCTCAGGAATAAAATGAAAATCCTCAAGATGTAAATACTTGCCAGGCGTGGGGGCACACATTTCTAATCCCAGCACTTGGGAGGTGGAGGCAGGCGGCTCTCAGTGAGTCGGGACAGCTAGGGCTACATAGAGAGATCCTTTCTCAGAAGAAAAGCAAATTCTTAGCATCATCCTTCCCCAGTGATCTAACTGGAGTGATGGTACAGTGCTAGAAACAGCCCACAAGGAAGCAAGTTAACTAAGGTACTTATTTGGGTGAATAAAGATTTCAGAGCCTTTCCCCCATGTGTTAACACTGTTCTCTCTCACTAGGAGAAAGGAACATCCTCTGGTTTAGAGGCACTCCTTGAGAGAAACAGAAAACCAACCTTGAGGACAGAACAGTCATCGTGCAGGCTCGTACACTTACTAGAAACGCAGCAAACTACAACAGGGCTGCATAACAAGATGTGGCCGTCTAGAAAACCTCTTGGCTTGGTGGGAGAGGTGCACAAAAACGCCAAGGAAAGCCTCGAGACCGTCCCGATGGCAAGAAACACCTCCTTAGCACTGGGTTTCGATGGATCCATTCTACTCCATGTTTCAGGGCCATAGAAAACGCTGATTCTCATTCTGAAATCGATAAAACGCAGGTCTTCACCTGTCTTCGCACGTGCGCTGCCGCAGGCTTCCAGGTGTTGGAAGTCACCACAGAGCCTAAGCACGGGGCAAACCAATGAACGGATGGAAGGCTTAGTAATACCTGTTACCTCCTTAGAAAGCACCTCTACTTGTGTCCTAACTTGAGGTACCCTAAGTTTCCAGGATGGAGAGGTTTCCTTTTGTCGTTCTTACTGTTTCCCGCGTTAAAAAAAATTAAAACAAGAAACAGCAGTCACATGCCAGAATGGGACCAATGAAAATATTCTGGATGGGATTCCGAAGGGAGAACCACCCACGTGCCCCGAGCATCACCTGTACGCGGAGCACCCCGCGGCCGCCCCCGCGCTGTCCCGGGCAGGGCCATCACCGTGCAGGGACCCGCGCAGCGCCTGAGGTCCGAAACCTCCCGACCGCGGCATCCTGCCGCGTCCGGTCGCCATGGAGACACAGTGCCTAAGCGAGGCACCGCCCCTCGCGCGTGCGCACGAGGGCGGCCAGGCTCGCGCGGACGTGGGTCGAGTTTCCCTATGGACAGCTCCGCCTTTGCGTCCCGAACGGCGTCCGGGCGCTTCCGGGTCGGCGTTTAGCCGCCCCCGTCATGCCGATGAGGGTTCGCCGGTCACAGCGCGGGGCCATTGGCCTGTGGCCCTGTTCACCTACGTTTGTCAGCTGATTTGTAGAGAGCAAACGGACATGCTGAAATTGTCACTTTCTCATAATTATGGCAAACCCATGACACGGACTTCTCAGTTGACAGTCCTCTGTAGAGAGGCCATGAGAAGACTCAATTCACAACCCCGTCGGAATCTGCAAGTTCCAGAAAAAAATAAGCAGATGTTAACATCCCCGTCTCTGCCTGCCGTAAGGACACTGAGCTCAAGCACAGGCATCCGCGCAGAGGCGTCTGGGAGTACCTCCTGGACTGAGGCTTTCTCCGTGCATTGTGGGACATGTAGTCCCTCCTGCCTTCCCTTCTCTGGTTACACAGGAAAAAGTGAAGTCCTTAAACTGCGATTCCCAGGGCTCATGGGGTTTCCCAGGCTGCTTTGCGAAAGCATGGCGGGCAAGATGTGAATAGTAAGGTAAATAGGGCGTTTTAATTCCTGAGAGGGAAAAAGAAAAAAGGACTGAAAGGCGTGCGTAACCTCTCGGAGATTTTTCATCTTGATATCCGCCTAACCCACTGCGGAATGTGAATGACTGGATTTCATGTCTCGTTCAGTTGAGTGTGTGGATTACTAAGCTTTAGAAGTTGCAGTCCCGAAGCCCCGCGGTTTTTGTGAACATGCTTTGTGCTTTTCTACGAGTTGTGCAGCATATGGAGAAGCTGCCCGGGTGTTTGGGCGGGCAGTTGCTGCCACACTTTATGCACACGAAAGCTTTCTTGAAGACTCAGCCTTTGAGGTGGGGGCTGCTCGAGCAGAAGAAAACGGTGCATCCTAGAACCGAGCTTGGGTTCACCCGGAAAACCTGGACCCAAGGACCAGACCCCCAGAAAACGAAAGAGGACAGCAGCAAGCAAGTGTCTGTTCACGGAAATCAGAGCGGGGAAACCGGCCTCTCAATGTCTCAGAAAGGTAAATAGAGTGTATACGTACGTACATACATACATACAGATAGATACTACTTCAATGAAGATCTGCCTCCCCAGCTAACCTGCCAAATATCTTTTCATACCTAGTTCACGTCTAAAGATGGGATAGGGGAATTATCCAGATTAAAATAATTAAAAAGAACTGTTGAACATATAGTTTACAACCAAACAGTGTCGACCGCAGTTTTCACAACTTTATAAATGTTTTGAAAATTGATCTTGTATTTGGTATAGTTATTGCACTGTGAATAATAAGTGTGTGGATAAATAGGAAGAGATATTATTGTCAATCAATAAAGTGTTTTGTCATTCAGTAACAGAGACAGAGGACTTCAGAAACACAAGGAATGAGGGTCTTGTGTGAGAATATTGAGTCAAAAAGTCAGAAGAATGAAGAAAGCTACAATGTAATATTTAACAGGAATTTTTAGAACTTAGCAGATGTGTGTAATAATCACGGCTTTACACACAGTCGATATTACAGAGCTCTTGGTGCTTGGATTAGAAATTTCCTGTTAGGACTGAGTGTAGGGAGGAACAGGATTTGGGGTTGTTCAGGCCAATGACCTGATTTAGAAAGCAAGAACAATTATGGTTATGTCTTAGTCTAACTGTTGTGTTGCCAACTTGGGGCCTTGCATGGTGGTGTCTGTTGACATGTAGTTTATGACATTATGGGTAATGGAATAGAGATTGTCATTGCAGAACTCAGCCACTGAGCCTAGTAAAGAGACTGGGTTTGCGAAGCAATTACTGTTGAAATCAATCCCATGAATTATATAAATTTTAGTAGATGCAATGCAATATATCTTTTTCTCTACTTTTTTTTTCAAGACAGGGTTTCTCTGTATCTTTGGAGCTGTCCTGGAACTCATGTAGACCAAGCTGGCCTCGACCTCACAGAGATTTGCCTGCCTCTGCCTCCCGAGTGCTGGAATTAAAGGCATGTGCCACCACTGCCTGGCAAGATGCAATATTTCTATTTTCTTTTCTTTTTTTTTTAAAGGTTTTCTGTGTGTGTGTGTGTGTGTGTGTGTGTGTGTGTGTGTGTGTGTGTGTGTGTACATTAATGTAGGCAAACATGGAAGCCAGGAAAGGTTGTCAGATCCTCTGAACCTGGAGTTACAGGCAAGTGTGAGCCACCAGATGTGGGTGCTGGGAACTGAACTGCAGTTGTCGGCAAGAGCAGCAAATACTCTCAACCTCTGAGCCATCTCTCCGGCCACCTGAACACAGTTCAGGTTAACAACCAGTACTAAAACCCAAATACACTACAGTAAATACTACCTTTAAATGAGTGGTTTTATTATAGTATTTTACTGTACATATGGGGAAAAGTGCAGGAAAAATACCACCTGTTAAATTTTTGATTTCCTCATTTTTTAAGGACTGAAGCAGAGAAAACTGGGTTCCTAATATGACTATACTAACCTATAAGTGTACCAAAGATGTAAATGTTCTCAGCATCCGTGAAAAAGTACACTGTGATGATGTAGCTTTTCACACATAACATGCACTTATGTAAATAATGTGTCTATATACATAATATATCTTGATTAATTATCTTTAGCCCCCCACATGTTCTTACTTAGTACAGAAAAATAAGAACAGTCTCTGTAGGTTTATTTGATTCATGGACCATCCTGGCCAACTACCTTCCAATTCCAATTTCCATTCACTAACTTTATGCACCAGTCGGTGGGGACCTGTGAGGTAGTACTGTGAAAAGTTGCTTCCATTTGGATCCCTCTGTTCCCTTGTCTTTGGGTTGATTGAACCTTGATCCCGACAGGGTTGACTTCTGTCCATGTTGCCTATCTGTGGCCGTTCTCACTCTGGAGACTGATAAGGGTTTTATGCCACTAGAAAGAAAACAGTACCAACATTATGCTACTCAGTGAAAGAAGTGCACAGATTGCTCGGCCGTGTGTACAGCCATGCCACACTGAACAGCCCATTCTCTTCTGCTCTTGGAAGCTAAGCAGGACTAGGCTTGGTTAGTGCTTGGATGAGGGAATTCTTTTGAAACACTAAAGCTCAGGAGCATTGAGATCAGGTGCTGAGAATGTTCCATTGGGCCTGACCACCACATGCTACCTGCTAGGAACAATCAGGTCCCCAGGGGCCAGGGTACTGTAGACACACCTGTAACCTTTCAACATTTTTCTTTGCAGTGAAAGAAGCCGGAAGAGACTTCAGCTACTTGATGGTGGTGTTCTTCGGTGTCAGCATTACAGGTCGCAAAGCCCAGCAAGTGCCTGGATACCTTTCCCCAGCCTCTCACCCCGTGGCTGTGCTTCACCTTTCTCTCTGCTTTTTCAGGTGCCTTGTTATATACAGTTTTCAAAGAACTGTTTTCTTCATCCAGTCCTAATATCATCTATGGGAAAGCCTTAGGAAAATGCAGAGCACATCCTGAGGTTAGTTCCCTGATGAGAAGGTGTTGGTGATGTAGAAGGGTCTTTATATCTGTTGTTTCATTGATTAATTAATAAAGAAAACTGCTTGGCCTGATAGGTCAGAACATAGGTGGGTGGAGTAGACAGAACAGAATGCTGGGAAGAAGGGAAGTGAGGTCAGATGCGATGATTAGAAATGGGTTAAGCAAGAAATGAGAGTTAGCCAAGAAGAGGCTAGATATAATGGGCCAGGCAGTGTTTATATAAATACAGTTTGTGTGTTGTTATTTCGGAGCATAAGCTAGCCAGGTGGCCGGGAGCTGGGTGGCAGCAACGCCTGCCCTCAGCTCCTTCTACATGTTGGGGAGCAGGAATGCATCACGTCTGCAGCGGTGACATCATACAATGGGCTGCTTGGGTTGTCTGTATGTTGTTAGGTCATCGTGCACTGATTCACTTTGGCCCTGGCACTCAGAGCTCACTGCGTATGTTTTCCTCCCAGCTGTGCCAGTGATCATTGTCAGTTCTTCATGGGTGTTAAATGCCTCTGGTCTGCCTCAGGGTGGATGCTTCAGAAGCTGGTGGTCTGTGGCATTTTTCCTTTTGTGTCCTCAACCACAGAGGGGAAGACTGAGAAGAAGTGTAGCCACGAGAATGAAATGTGGCAGATGGATGTGTTTATTTTGTAGAATTTGGAAAACTAAAATCTGTGCACTACACCATTGATACATATTCAGGTTTTCAATGGGCAACTGCTTCAAGTTTGGAAAAGGCTGATTCAGTAATCACACATTTGCTAGAAGTTATGGCCATCATGAGTATACCAGCACAAATAAAGACAGACCATGCTTCAGCATATGTCTCTAAGAAAATGAAATGGTTTCTTGCTTATATAATATAAAACATATTACAGATCTACCAAATAATCCTACAGGACAGGCAGTTATAGAAAGATCAAACTCTAAAGGATGTGTTAAATAAACAGAAAGGGATAATAAAGGCCCCCAGAAATAGATTGCCTAACACTTTATTAACTTTGAATTTTTTAAATGCTAATGAGAAAGGAGCAACAGCTTCAGAGAGACATTGGATAGCATAAAAACTGCAAAATTAGCCTAGATACATTAAAGATGTACTGACTTCAGAATGGAAGCCAGGACATGTGTTATATTGGGAAAGGGGTTTTGATTTTGTTTCCACAAGAGAAGAAAAGCTATGAGTAGCATCAAAATTGATAAAAAAATTTTATTTGAACAAGGGATAATAATAATAATTAATTACCATATTATTTGTAATATGATAATATTGATCATATAGTATTATCAATAATAATCTCTTAATTAGAAGAGATGATAGTTTATCAAACAGTATGACTGTTTAATCTAAACTAACCTATAAAACCAAGAAATGCTTTTTATTTGATCACATATTAACCTCCCCAAAATTAGGGTTGGGGAAGGGTTTTGTTTCTGTCTTTTCAGAAGAATAAAGTTATCTAGCTAAGGAATCTGAAGAGCACAAGTGAGGTATATGAAGAAAAAGGACAAATCATCCAGAAGAAAATATCCCTAGAGAAATAGTAAATTGGCCTATTAGTATATCATATTCCCAACAGTATAAAATTTCATAAGTCTTCCCAAATATTTGTTTGCTATTTTCTACAGACATGCAATGCAAATGGTCTTTTGTAATCCCATCTTAATTAAAGATGAAAGCTGACTTTGGAGTTGGAATGGGACGCTCTTCTCTAAACTCGAGCATGCTTATTAAAGTAATCCAAAATCTCTGTTTCGTGTAAGAAGAGCCACCTGATATGGGACAAAGAAAAACAAATACTTAAGGACTACTTTATTGCCACTAATCTCACAATCCTTTGGTTTTATATTGACTT